CGCAGCGCCTGGAGGGGATTGCTGCTTGTGATTGGCACAGCTTTGGGAGAGACAGCCCAGGCCGGAGAGTTAAGCAGGCACAGCGGTACCCCAGTTCCACGTTGTACCCTGAGGATTACGTCACACCCATCGACCCACTAGCCGACATTTCCATCTATGATGATCAAAATTGATCAAAAAGTAAGAGGAACGCTGCCCCGGGCACAACTGGAGTTTGATTTCAAGGTATTTGCTGAGTGTATGTTGACAGGCAAAGCTGCAAGTTTGTGTTTTAAGGGTGGGGAAGTTTCACTTTTTGAATCGCAGCATCTATTGTCATAAGAACATAACAGCTGCTATCCCGGGGCAGACCAATGGTCCGTCTAGCTCAGTATCCTGTCTCCAGCAATGACCAACATGAGGGCTTGGAGGGGGGGGTGTACAGAACAGGGTAATTTTGGAGAGATACACCCCAACTTCCCCTCCCAGCTTCTGACAGTCAGGGATTTAGAGGCTGCATCCCTTTACACTTTACAACGTCCCCTGGCAATGAGTTCCATGGGTTAACGGAGCCTTGTTGTGTGAAAAAGCACTTCTTCTTGTTTATACTGACCATGCTGCCTGTTCATTTCACCGGGTGACCTGTTTTTTTGTATTGTGGGAAAGGGTAAATAACACTTCTCTGGTCACTTACTCCACCCCCCTTCATGATTTTATAGCCCTCAATCATATCCCCCCTCAGTCGCCTCTTCTCTAAGCTGAACCACCCTAATCTTTTTAGTCTCTCCTCGTCTGCAAACTGCTCCAGACTCTTGCGCATCTTTGTTCCCCTTGTCTGAACCTTTTCCAGATCCACTATCTCCTTTCTGAGTGGGGCGACCAGAACTGGAAGGATATAGTGAAACTGACATTAAATAATTATTGTCCGACCCTCCCCTATTGTCTGATCCCACCCTGCTATAACTTCCCACAACTATGAACATTTGAGTAAATAAAAATTAGGGGGAAAAGGCTTAAACCCCATAATTGTGTGCAATGGGGAACATTTAAATTTATAAAAATAGGGGGAAATGCTTCAAAATAAACATTGGTATTGTCTATCAAAAGTATTTAAAAAATAGAAATCGAATTCTGCCAAAATTGGACATACTGGGTCTCTCAAGGTATGCGTTCCCCTCTTTCCTTGGATCACACGCATGGGGGGCGGGGGGCAGTGAGAGGGGCCCATATATACCTCCAGATCACCCCAGACCACCCCAGATCACAACCACAGCTCTGTCAAGATGCTCCGTCTAATCCCTCCACCCTGCATTGCAGCTGGACTGCATGCCGAGAATTCCCCGTGGCTACTGATAGCCCCAGGGGCAAAGATAAGGCTGTCTGGGCATTTACCTTCCCTCTGCATTTGCTGGCTTGCAGAGAACTG